CATAAACTTGGGCAATAAACTGTGATAGGGACACAATTTGCCCATGTTAGACTTGAGACATTTGAATAATTAGAAAAAGGCATTAGCAGGGTTCAGTCTTTTAAGATTATTAACCTATGTAACATTTAAGGATATTTTTCAAGATTTGTCTTCAAATACACATTAAAGTTGGTAGATAGAAACCAGTGACCAGCCCATCACTGTGTGTGTAGAGTGGGATGGATCAAAGTGTAAAACTCTATTCACAAGGGAAAGTGAAAGAACATTTATTTCCTGAGCTCATCTGTCTTCAACATATGAATATTCCATTTACTCACAACTGCTTTTTTATGGTAACTTCAAACTTTTAGCTTTAAGCTATTGTCTGGAAGACAAGGATATTGATTGTTAAAAGATGGTCCCAAAGCTAGTCATGGTAGTTTACATCTGTAATTCCAGCAGGCAGGAGGATCAGGAGTTCAAGGCCAGCTTTAGCTACATAGGGAGTTCAAAGTCATCCTCAACTAAATGAGACTGTGTCTCATAACAACACAAAACCAGCAAAGCAAAGCAAAACTAAAAAAGACAGAGGGCCACAATGTGGAAAATAAAAATTAATTGTCAGTTGATATAGAAAGTATAAATTGTGCCTCTGCCAATAAATTACTTGAGTAATCAAAGCTCTCAGGACTTGCTTCTTCAAGAGTAATGTGGGCTGGTAGTCAGCTAAGTTAGTTTATCTCGAAGTCCCCATCATTCTTGGCATGCCAGTATCTTAGAGACAGATGTTACAATCAGTGTTACCTTGTTCCCCATCACCGATGCTAAGTGGGCAACTGAATAAGACTGCACAAACGCTCCATCTTCGGTGATGAATTCGCATGTGTATTTCTTTCTGTTTCTTCTTTTCTACCAACTCCATGAAACATGGAAGGTTTAAATGTTCAGAACCAAAATATAAGCATTAATACACCCATAATGTGTTTCTGATACATCAAAGACTCAGAACACATTGCCTGAAAAAGAATTAAAACAAGCTAACAAGCCATTCTTTCAGTGGAAGAAAACAAAGGGAAAAAAGTTTAAATCAGTTTGTAAATTTTAAGATTATTTTGGAAATATAAGAAAATTGAAAAATATGTTCTTATAGTATTACTATTTAATGTCCTTACTTAAAATTTAACCTTATGCTGGTTATCCAGTAATGAAGGACTGAAAAATTGCTTTTTCATAAAACCCCCAAACTTGCAATGCAAATGACAACTTTTCAACTAATTACTTTGGTAATATGAAACTCAAGATTAGTTCCACAAACAGATTATTTTTATATACTTCATTGAACAAAAATGCTGCACTAAAAGACTTTTATAAAACCAATCAAAACAATGGAGACTATCTCTTATAACCCAGAAGAAAAAAGTGTAACTTATTTTTTAAAAAAAATTTCTGGTGCTACAGATCTAACCCAGGGCCTTGCACATGTTAAGTAAGTATTCAAATACCAAGTACATCTAGAACGCCTTTACATAATCAAGAAATCACCTATGATGTTTGAATCTTCATTCCTATTTTTTCCTAAGGATATACAAATTTTGAAAATTTTGAGATATATTACTTAAGGAAATTGTTTTGTAACATAGAGATAAGTTAATGAAGAATATTTTATCAGGTAAGTTAAACAGTCGCTATATCCTGAAGGCTTATTAGTTTAACTCATAAATCTGGTACATATATTTCAAAGAGTATTTTTCATATTTTGGTAATACAAAGACTCATTTCTTTGGAAATTTCATTCTTTCAAATTTCTTCTATACTGTGATTGATAAATGAATCTACCTTGTCAGATACATACACCCTAACTCAAAATATATCCAACACACTCACATTTTTTCATGGAATCAAAAGAAATGATAGTGTAATGTCTGAGGATTGCTTCTTTCTTGTTGATATAAATTTCTTCATCAAGCCAAGATGCCTCTTAATCACTGCTTCACATGTAATAACTGATTCTCAAAGTTTCAGCCAAGGCAATAATATACAGTATGTGCTTGAAAAAGCTTTTTAAAGACCTATATTTTTTAATAATCCATAGGCAATCATCCATACATGTACTCATGAGGCTTGTTCATATATTAACTTTCACAGGCAATTTAAACCCCTCTTTAGCTCACAGGGTGTGTGTGTGTGTGTGTGTGTGTGTGTTGAACACTTGCACCTTTTCTTGTTTCATTTCTCAAAATGTTCTGATTAGTCTTAACTTCTCTCAATGCTAGTTCATGCTTATTACTGTATGCATCATAAAAAAACAAAAAATACAGTAGTTTGTCCCACGTGAACACAGATACAAGCTTATATTGGACAGGGCTTCTGAAGTTGAAAATAAAAGCTAAAAGCTTCCAATGTTTCCAGAAGCTTGTGCTATCACTTTAAAGTGTATTTAAATATCTCCTTTTTTTGTATTCATTCCCTATATTATCAGTTGTTATCAGTTTCACATATAGCTTCACATATTCTTGATGCTGTCAACTTATTGCAGGAACTGTGCACATTTATTTCAGGATGGCCTTAGTTGAGTCAGGAAACCTGCATTTCGGTCTCAGTTCTGGCACTTCTAATCTATGTGACGTTGAACAAATTACTTATTTCCTCTGGGGCTCAGTGTTCTCATCTATAAAATGGAGGTAATATTATCTCAGCTTAGCATTATTATTGGATTCAACTAAGGTAATATATGTGAAATTTCTCTGGTAATTTTAAAGCATTGTTACAATTTTCTCTGAAGAATAAAACTACCAAGTGCTTCTTAGAAAGCACTTTCATTTGAAAAAAGCAATTCTATTAAAGAATGGATGACATGCAATGTGTGAGCATGTGGGAAATATGCAAGTGATATAAAAAATTTAAAGATAGGGATCCTTAAATAGAATGACAATAATGTATCAGATGAGCCACAGTGAAAGCTACATGTGAATTTTACACAATCTTGGTTTTTCTGTGAATACTCAACTAAGGAATTTGAAATAAGGCCATTAATCAGGGTAGAGAGCATAGCAAAAAATAAATTAAATCAATGATGCAGTCTCTATTCCAATTAGCTTCTCAGCTCCACTCTCCCAAACAAGTCTATTTTATTTAAAAATGGAGGCAATTAAGAGACTCTACCAAAGCAATCAAGCCACAGATTAAACTATAACTCTTGTTCTTGTTTATGTTTATTAAGTACTCATTACCACATAATTTTTTTTCTATTAATAGGTCAAATATACAAAGTGATATGCTAGCCTCTATTCTACAGTTTTGGACCCATCCAGCATAGTGCTCAATTGCATGACCTCTTCAAACAGTGAAATTACACGTGTGTTTTATTAGTCTGTGTTATAAAATTAAGGTTGTATATTAATTTATAAATGTCTTCAATTAATGCAAACCATCAAACTTTAAATTGATCTGAATTGAGAGTAACCTCAATTCTCATCTTGTACATTCAATAGACATAGTGACAGCCACAAGGTACTCAAGGAAGTGAGGAAGGCAGAGGGCTCGGAGATGTAGACCTGCTGAAAGAATGCCCACACGTGAAGGTTGGGCTATTGATTGGCTGCATGCTCTTGTTCATAGAGAATACAACACACAGGCAGACATGTTTGCACATGTACAGGATCAGATAAACACATATTTGAATACCATTATGGTTTTCTGATAAATTCGACCTATTTTCAGTAAGAACTAGACAAATAATCCCAGTCCTAGGTTTTCCTGTTTACACATCCAGCTCTGATGTACAATTACCCATTGTTCAGTGTGGGGGCTTGATGTGGATGCATCAATGCCTGCCCCTGGATAAGGCTGGATGATTGTCCCACTTTGTCATCCATCATGGCAAGTGTCAGCAGCTGCTAAAACCTTTGTGTGACTGTGTGTTTGCTTCTGTGTAAAACCTTGGATATTTCTCTCTCTCTCTCTCTCTCTCTCTCTCTCTCTCTCTCTCTCTCTCTCCCCCCCTCCAGCAGTTGGGATGGGGGAACTCATGGCCTTAGGAGCAAGTGGGGGGGCCAATATCCACCTCCTTGTCTGTTAAGAATGCAGAACTGACTCTTCCACAGCTACTGTAATTTGTCCTTTGCACTACTCATTTCCTTAGCTTCTATTAAAACTCCCAGTTGACATGTGGCTTCCCTGCCCTCTCTTCCGGAGCACTTTACGTTAAGGGGAAATCACAATAATCAAATCTCTATGTCTCGATTGCTTCTTCTCAAACGAAGTGCTTTCTTCCTGGGTTTGTGCAGGGGCCACCGATACATACACGCTTTGGATACACACACTCACACACACAGCGACGCAGTATAGCTCCCACGGCATTCTTGCTCCCATCGCTCCTCCTTCTCTCTTGTGAGGACTGCTGAACATTTTGCTCCAAACTCTCCAAGTCACCCACGTGTGTGCTCTCCCCTTTGCTGTTCAATTTACTTCTGGACTTAACAAAGAGAAACTCGAGTTGTTCTCAAGCGTTGTGGCTGCAATCCTGAGACCAAACTGTTTCATCCACACCCTGCGTCCTCTCTGGATAGAAGTACCCTGCTGACCCCTCTCCTCTGCGGTAATTTCCGAGCTGGAACTGCCCTTGTCCTGTGAGTTTTCGCGCCTTCACCCTTCCTCCCCTTCCACGCAGAGTACACTGATTTCGCTGTTCAATCTCACTGCTGGAGTGGGATGGAAGCAAGTGGGGAGAGGGAGGTGCATGGCACCAATAACCCGGTAACGCGCGCGCGTGCACACACACACACACACACACACACACACACACACACACTGGCCCAGTCAACAATCATGCTGTACTTTCAGGTCTATTACACACCTGAACCACATCTTGTAGAGCAAGGATAGACACGCCCCTGCTCGCTGTCCCTGAGTTTCTAGAATTTGACCCTGGGTTCCAAGATTGGTGGTGACAGCCTAACTGGGAGAATTGGAGAAGGGAGGTGACCCTTTGCCGAGTGGGGGAGGGGACGCTCTCCACTCACCGCCTGAGTCCCTGGAACGACGAGGGCCAGGACATCCTAGATTTCTTCAGACCGGGCCGGTGACCCGTCTCCACCGCGTAGGAGGTGCGGTCCATGGCGCGACAGTACAGGTAGCGCTCGGTGTCCGAGTAGCCGCGGTGCCGGACGCGGCCGGTGGCCCCGCTCGAGGCGTAGCGGCCACGGGTAGCCCCGGGCGGCGGCGGGGGCGGTGGCAGTGGGGGCGGCGGCGGTGGCTGCAGCTGGGGCTGGGGCGAGGGCGGCGGCGGCGGGGGGAGGTGGTGGTGGGGATGCAAGAGGCGGAACTGGGGCTGCCGGAGCGGGTACTGGTGGTGCTGCTCGTGCCTCCAGAGATGCTTGGGGGCTTTGAGCGCCACTCCGCCGGCGCCGTCGCTGCCCTCGCCGCTGGCCGCTCGGGCGGGCACGCTGCTGCCCTCTGCCTCCATCCTGGCCGGCTTCGCGCCCTGCTTCCCCGCCGGGTTCACCGCGCTGGATGGAGCGCCTCCCCGCTGCTGCCGCCGCCGCCGCCGCCGCTTCTGGAGACTGGGCTCAGCTTCCGACTTGTAGCCACCAGAGGCTGAGGCTACCGAGAGGGGGCTCTGCCAGCGGGAGCGATCACAAAACGCCACAGGGCTCCCAGCACGGCCACCGTGGCAGAGACGCTCCTGTGCTCCCCAAGTCACCACTACTCTGATGTGCGGCTTCGCCGATGGTCTGTCCCTTCTTCCTCCTCTCTTCTTCCCTTCCTTCCTCTGGGCGCCGACGACAGATTAGGAACCGTTGGCGGCTGGAGCTGCCAAAGCCGCCTCTCTGCTGGAGCCCGCTCTTGAGTCGGGGCACCTGAACCGCAATCTCGAGCGCTGCTGAAAAGTTGGACAGCTCCCGACTGGCTTGTGGTGCTCTGACTTTCTCCAAAACCACTCCAGCCAGTCAGGAGTCAGACCTGTGCTTGGATCCTTCCCCTCCCAGTGCCCGCGCCTCCCTCCCTGCTCCTCAGTGCCCTGAGGTTTGCTCTTCATTGCTTGACTCTGTTCTCTCGCAGAAACGCATTTGATGATTCCTGGCTGGTTTTCAGAGCTTGTTGTCAATGAGCTGCGTATGGGGGGGGGGAGGGGCTTCCAAAGATAAAGGATTCAACCTGTCAAAGTTACTGGGAATGGTGTGTCTGTGTGTCGGTACAAAATTGAATCTGCTTGAAGATCCAAAATTTAAGATTAATTCAATTCGTTTCTCTGATACAGGATTAAATATTGAGTGGATCTTTTCCATAACAGGAAGAATACTCTGTTTCCTCTTGAACATCTTCCTCCAGCTAGTACCAGCCCTGGGGAGTAGAGCTGGCTGAAAATCTAGATGAGTGATCTCGAGTTGTACAGCAGAGTTCTCTGGCGACACTTAAGCAGTTGCTACCTTCAGAGCCTGCCTACAATTTGCTTTTCTGTCACGTCTGCCAGAGCACAGCTCTATTACCAAAGCACTTTAAAGCACATTTTGCCATTATACTACAGAAAGAAGTCATACTTGATGCTACAGTATGAATTCAAATTTCATCTTCTCTTAATTTTTTCTGCAATATCAATTTCTTTAGAAAAGATACTTTAAGAGTACCTTAAGGACATTTTTGCACTTTTTTTTGCTATTACCAATTACTTAAAGATCAGATGCCATTTCCCCATTGTTAAAATAATTCTACAATTCGTTGCCGAGTAAGTCATCACTATACCATCCATTATTTGCTATATATTTAGGCCTCACAATAATTCACTGGCAGTATAATCATTCTGTTCCTTCAGCAAGTCATAACATAATTGAATGTGCACTAGAGTACTAAAATCAGGAACCCTCCAGAGTGCTGAAATCCAATGCTCGCTACATAGTGAATGTTCAATACAGATACCATTGGGAAAAGAGCAAGAATGAAAATAAATGCTCACTTTGCTCACATGTAAGAATAGTTCATGAAATATGTAAATGTCCGCCTCTTTAAGTGGCAACTGTTTAATATTATACACAAGACTCTCAGAGCAGCAGTCATGGGTACTTAGGACTGGAAATGTTCATTTCCTTCAACATGCTATCATGGGCGTTCTGCTTATAGGCAGGCCATGCACAAACTCTGAGAAAGGTGGCTCTGAGAGAAATGAAGCAAAAGTCTGTCAAGCACCACTTCCTCCACGGAGGATTGAAACTGTACTGGACTGAAGAGTGCTCACTCTCTCTTTGAAGGCGTCATCATGACAGTGGCCAAAGTATTTTCTATTTCTCAGAGGTCATTGAACCAATATCTTTCTAAATGTGAAGAAAAGCTGAAATATTCTGCAGCACAAACTGGCTTTTATTCATGAATAATCCTTAGCCTTGTTAACATTTGGAAGAAGCAGATCAAAGTAGTATATGAATGTCAGTTTTCTTCTGGAATTCTCCCTACATTTTTCCTCCCTAAAACTTAACTCCACCTGAAACTCCTAACTTCTCAAATACTGATGTTCAAGCAGTTTATGGTCCATTTTCCAGATTAAACAGAATGATTCAAATCCAACAAGCTTCTTACTGTCAGCATGCCTTGTAACTCAGGAACACTTTCTTTTACCCAAAATTTCCATTAAGTTTTAAAAAATAGTTTATTTAGTTTATAGAGTATAGAATATCAAGCCAGCAGCTTTAAAAAACATATGAACATCATTTAGCATGTTCCCAACCTGGGGAATGTTAAGTATATCATCATTTCAAAAGACTATTGATAGTGATGGATTGTTGTGTAGCATTGGAGGCTGCAACTTGGGCTATCACCCAACATTTCCTACTCATGTGGCCCTGGCTAAATCAGTTGTCCTGCTTTGCTCCTCCTTGCAGAGCAGTACTCTTACTTTCTCACATAATTTGATGATTATTTCAATGAAAAAATGTAGAACAATGATTTATATACAAAAAATGTTTAATAAAAGCTAGCAGTTTTGATAATTCCTGCCAGATCTGAAAGAATCGTAAGAATAATTTTCATCAGTAGTCAATAACTTTGCCTGTGCCTAGCAAATGTCAACTTTGGGCTTTTAAAAGTTCAGAGGTTGATTCTTAGATTAGTGATTACAAAACGTTATCAGAATCAGCTGGGAAGCTAATTCAGAACACACAAACCCATCCTACTCAGACCTCAAAAATATTTGAGGATTAATATTCTTGCTAAGTTGTAAGGTTATGGTGATTCAAGATAAAGTTTCTGAACCATTGCCAAATAAAATCAGTTTTTCAAGATAAGGACCTAGCATTCTAACAACTATTCTTCAGGTGGCTTTGCATATCAATAACTACACATACAGCCCACTTCCTTGTTATATGATTGCACAAACACAGTAGGTACTATTAGCTAACTTGTTCATCAGACTCAAATACTCCCGGGGGGGGGCAGCTTAAATGCCCAGCTTTCATTGGGAATATGTATTTTACCTATCATTCTGTTTATTTCCATGTTAAAAGAAAACTGTACATTCTGAAGAGTTAAGCACTTCCAACTGTCATTTGAAAACCTTTATTAGGGAATCCTCACACAATTTAAAAAGTATATACAAGATATTCAGTTGACTCATTGGCTTTCTCTGCTTGTGTGTGAAATGAATTATTTAATTTTTTCTCATCAATTGATCATAGATCTTAGAGTTTTACACATCATAGTATAGGAGAATCTTTGTGAATTTTTGTTTTAATATGAAGCATTTAATAATTTTATTATTATTTATCATAACGCACATCTGTATCTAAAAAAACTTAGAAAATCAGGTATATTAACTGTTCCTTTTTCTGGAACCAAAGAATGTACTAAGTTTCAACCATGAGACAGAGATTACATTTACCACCTCTAGTGCCAACACATTTCAAATCTGCCCTAATGATAAAATCAATCACTCAATGTGCTGTTATTAGCAGGAGAGAACATTCTTGTCAATAATGATTGGAGTTCTAAAAGAAAGATGTCAATTCACAGCTAGAATAAAGCAGGCACCCTTATTTTTTACTCAGAGCACAGAATTAAATAGTATGTTGTGATATCTAAGGGTCTGTGTCTATCCTGGTGGTGAGAAGAAGATTTAAGCAACGCTTTATTTTCCATATACTCTACATCCCTGCATTGTCTTATTTGCTAAGGTGCATCAGTGAAATGTCAATCAGTTTAAAGTTGGAAATGTCTATCCCCAGACACTATTATACAAGGC